TGCAAGCTGTGTTAGACTGGCCCCAACCTCAAAACTTGAAGCAATTACGTGGGTTCCTTGGATTTACTGGTTATTATCGCAAATTTATTCAAGGATATGCTACCATAGCAGCCCCTTTTACACAATTATTGAAGAAAGATAGTTTTCTTTGGAATCCAGTGGCAGCTGATGCTTTCAACAAGCTTAAGATTACTTTGACAAATGCCCCAGTCTTAGCTCTGCCTAATTTTTCTCAACAATTTGTTATCAAAACAGATGCATCGGGTAATGGCATAGGAGCAGTCCTTAGTCAAAATAATCATCCACTTGCATTTTTCTCAAAGAAGTTAACACCGCGCTTGCAAAAGAAATCTACATATACACGTGAGCTATATGCCATTACAGAAGCCATTGCTAAGTTTCGTCATTATCTTTTGGGACACAAATTCATTATAAGGACAGATCAAAGGAGCTTAAGAAGCATTACAGAGCAAGTTATACAGACACCAGAGCAGCAGGCTTGGTTACATAAATTTCTTGGCTATGATTTCATAGTTGAATATAAGCCAGGTAAGGATAATATTCCAGCAGATGCTCTGTCAAGGTCCTTCTTAATGGCATGGTCACAACCTCAATCGGAGCTGATCCATTCCATAAAGACTGTCATCTCGGAGGAAGAGGAATTGAGGTCCATTCAAGATAATTGTATAAATGGAAAACCACCACATCCTCTCTATTCGGTTCATGATGAATTGTTATACTGGAATGGGAGGATAGTCCTGCCATAAAATCATACCATCACGCAACAAATACTCCATGAGTTTCATTCTTCTCCATTGGGGGGACATGCTGGAATAGCTCGTACGATGGCACGTATTGCAGCTCAATTTCATTGGAAGGGTATGCACAAGGAAATTACAAAGTATGTCAAGAATTACCTTATTTGTCAACAAGCTAAGGCCTCCAATACACTTCCTGCAGGACTTTTGCAACCCTTACCCATTCCTAATCAGATATGGGATGATATAGCCATGGATTTTATCACAGGACTTCCACCATCAAACGGGTTCACGGTAATTTTAGTTGTAGTGGACAGACTTTCAAAATATGCTCACTTTGCCACTCTTAAATCTAGTTATACAAGCACCCAGGTTGCTGAATTATTCATGAAAACAGTGGTTAAACTCCATGGTTTCCCAAAAACAATTGTTTCAGACAGAGATAAGGCTTTTACAAGTCACTTTTGGAAATAGTTATTCAAATTGAGTGGCACAAGTCTAGCTATGAGTACAGCTTATCACCCATAATCCGATGGTCAATAAGAGGTTGTAAATCGCTGCACAGAAATGTATTTACGTTGCTTTACCTATGAGAATCCTAAGGCGTGGACAAAGTTCTTACCATGGGCAGAATTCTGGTATAATATGGCCTATCATAGCAGCGCTAAAATGACACCATTTAAAATAGTATATGGAAGAGACCCTCCCCTAGTGCCGAAATATGATTCCAAATCCAACACTTCAACTGACATTCAGGAATTGTTGCAACAACGTGATGTCATTTTGGCACAATTAAAACAAAATTTGATTAAGGCACAACAGCGTATGAAAAAGGTTGCTGACCAAAAGCGACGAGAAGTGGAATTCAAGATTGGAGATATGGTCTTAGTCAAGTTGCAACCTTATAGACAAAATTCTTTAGCTCTGAGAAAGAATCAAAAGCTGAGATTAAAACATTTTGGACCATTTCCGATCATTCAACATATTGGCCAAGTAGCTTACAAGTTATTACTACCAGGTTCTGCTAAGATTCATCCAATTTTTCACTGCTCACAATTGAAACCCTGTCATGGTGATCATAATCGACCTTATGTTCCCCTGCCCATGATCACTAATGAGATTGGACCTATTATGCAACCCATTTCAATATTGCAGTCACGCTGCATTCTCAGAGGAGGACAACTAGTGAATCAAGTTCTCTTGAAATGGGAAGGCTTCAATGAGTCTCAGGCCACGTGGGAAGATTATGATGTGATCAAGATAAACTATCCAGATTTCAACCTTGAGGGCAAGGTTGATTTTAATGGAGGAGGAAATGTAAGAGATGAAGAAGCAACAAGGGCAATTAAGGAAATAACCACTGTTAGTGGGGCAGTACACGTGGCAAGTGATCCTAAGGAGGTGAGAATCAAAAGGAGCATCAGGACAAAGACACCGAATTCACATTTGAAAGGATTTGTGTGTGACAGCAAATAATTATATATGATGAGTTTTTTGGATAGTGGGGGGAGGGGGGTGTGTTAAATGTATTTTCTCTCTCTTTTCTCTTATGCGAATGTTTTCTGTCCTTTTGACAATTTCTTCTCTGACTTGAGAATACAGTGAAATATTCATAATACTGTAGTTGTTGGTTTAACCATTATAACAATTTATGTATTATAACGAAATAAAACATATATGAAATGAAATATTATATCATTAATTAAATTATTTTTATTATTTTAAGTATTATATTATTCATTGAATTTTATTTCTAAAATTGATGTTGATTAAGAACATTATTAATCTACTTTCTTAAATAATATTTATAATAATAGTTTTAAAACATATTTGAACATATTAAATTATGTAATAATAAGCTTTTATTAAACAGTTATTCTCTATTTTTCAGTATTTTTTTAATATGTCAATGCATATATTTAATAAATGTAAATTAAATTTAATATACATAATAAATATAGTATTAAATACTACCATGTTGGAATTTTGATAATATTAAATACTACCTTTATCTTTTATAGTTTATGTATTATATATTAAATTTAACACACACACACACACACACATATATATATATATATATATATATATATATATATATATATATATATATATATATATAAAGGTATTTAATTCTTTATTCAATAACATACTACTTAATATGTTAATATCAATTTTTATTTAATATATGATAAAAAAAATAGAATATGCGTGAGATTATCAACTTATTATTTTACTATCTTTGTCCCAAAATATAATAATTTCCGTATAAATAAATAAATAAAAAACTAAGTGGGATAATGTCTTCAAATTTTAATAAAGTATTTACTTTTATTTCTAATAAGTCCCCACAAGATTACACCGATATTTGTATAGTTTCTTTCTGCAGATAAAAATTAATATATATTTATTGATATAAAAAAACTATTTAAATAAATGACATATATTTTTTTTATAAATTCATTTGAATATATTTTCTCAAAAGTAAACATAAATCATAATATAGCATTTATATTTCTTATTTATTACATATATTGACATGTGTACGATTTGTAAATTAATTATTTTTTAATTACCTATTCATTTGTCCAATATATACAAGTGAATGAATTTAATAATATATACAAATTAAATAAATTATTTAATATGTGGTATCACTATTTAATTTAATTGGTGATGTTAGAAATATAGTTCACTATTTTGTGTGAATCAATATGTATTGACAAAGAACAATTATAAAAAAATTTAAAATTATATTAATATTTATTTAAATGTAATACATTAGAATATGTTTCATGAATAGTAATAGATAGTAATAAAATACTTTTAATGCGTGTGTATATATCCGTAGGTATCTATGTGTAATGGAAAAACACTCATAAAAAAGTATTTTTTTTAATTTACATTTACAAATTATAATATGTATTTGTTTTAAATTTTTTTTATTTGAATATATTTGATTAATTTAATTTTAAATATATTGAAGACTTGAATAATATACACATTCTAGATATTAAATTCAGTAATAATTAATTTTTTATTATAACTTTTGTGAAAATCTTTTTAATATGATGATTCATATATTTGAAAATATGTATTTCATTTAATATATATTAGTTATTATTCTCCTGTAGTCGAACATAATTTGATAGTTAATATTGTGTTTAATATTTTTCTTATGCTTCTAATATTAACTCAATGGGTTTTAATCGTTATATAGATAAATAAATAAATAAATATTTAATCGTTATATAGAGTGATTTAGAAACTATTTTAAAAAATTGAGGATTGTTAGTATTTAAATTATGTTTTAGTCTTTAATTAAATTTATAAAAGCAATTTCTATTTTAGATTAGCAATAACTAATAAGAAATTACCACTTCTAGATTTCAGATGAGGAATGTAAGCCATGCACATGAAATTTAGCAAAAAATAAACAATATATTAAAGTGCATTAGATAATTTTATATGTAAAATGTATTGTTTGATTCATTTGGTTCAATATATTTGTTTAATTTTGAAGCAACCCAAACTTGAATACGAAACCTGGCAATATCTTTTTTTTTTTTTTTATCTGTAGTAATTAGCGTGATTATAATATATAGTTACTAAGTTTTATTTTTGCTACAAAATTATAAAGTTAACGTTTTACTTCCAATTCTGGAAGCAGACACTAAAATTAGAAGTTGAATCAAGTATATTGAAACGTGACGTGCCTGAGGGTTTTACATGTATTTTATAAATGATAGTTTAAATCCTTCTAAGTACTACATAGAATATATAAAAGACTTCACCGAATATTCCAAGGAAGCTGAGGTAGAATATATAAAAGACTCCACGATAAATGGATAAGGATTTTTGTTAATGGTGCAACATAAAATCAATTATAAATATGCGGAGTAGTCTAACCATACTAAATAATATGAGATAGGTAATGTGTGACTTTCAACACGCCTTTTTCAACAAAGTCTGCCGGCAAAGGGTACTTTTAACCCAACTAAAGGATAACTTTTTGATTCATGACAATAATTGGAAAGATATTAGGCTTTGACTCCGATACCATGTTAAGGTTTCACCATAAAATCAATTTACAATATATAGAGTAGTCTATTATTTATTTAAACCATATCAATAATAACATGGGACATGGGGATGTGGACTTTCAACAATTTTTAAAGTATCTTTGACGTAGAAGCTCTTTAAAGCATTGATAAGTTTCTGAGCTTTTAATTATATAAACAGACAGGCACAGAAGAGGAAGCTCCAGGGCTTTTGATGTTGAGAGCATAAAGCTGAAAAGGCTCAACGCTATTACTAATTTCAGAATCAAGTTGTACAACGTTGGTGCCGTTTTGCTTGGAGAAACTGATCTTGAAAAGGTAATGTTTCAGAACATTACTGGCCAAGGCTCCTTGACAATGTTCTGTGGTACTGCAGGTAATGTGAATGGGGTCGGGGTGGAACAAATTCAAATGCCAATGTCAGTAAACACAGAAGAGGCAAAATTAGTGACATTGGCATTTGTAAAAAGAGACACTGGTCAAGGAAGCACGGCCAGGAAAAAGGTCAATATATGCTTATAAGAAATTCGTCAAGAGGCTAAGACAAAGCTGAAGTTGATTATATGTTAGTGGAGAAGTTCAGAACTGAGACTGTGATTGGAGTTTAAACTAAATTTCAACGTTGCCCAGGTTTCCCTGTCAAATACTTTACTGTGCATTAGTCGAAGTTAAACTTCAATAGAACACTATAGTACTGCAAGACGTGGTAAGAACTTGCATGCTTTTTTTTATGATGGGTAATGCAATTTTTTTTTTACATTATATTCATATATATATATATATATATATATATATAGTTATTTTCTTATATTTCATTCATTTTAATTACTTTTCTTTTATTTAATTTTCATTTTTTTTCTTTTTCAATCTCTTATATCAACTTACATTATTATCTTTATCATTAATTTTCCTTATTCAAATCTTCTTACTTAATTTGATTTTTTTAATTTCTTAATTTAATGATAAACAAATTTTTTTAATATTCTCTATCAATTTTAGTAATGATTAATATTATTTTATTTATAATTTTTTTATTAAATTTTATTATATTATATTTTTTAGATTTTATTATTTTACTAATTAAATAAAAAATAATTTATTAAATATTTTTTTCCAAACCATATATTTTATATTTACAAATATTTTAAAATGATAATTTAAAAAACATTTAATTAATAATATTAATTATAAATAATATATAGCTATATAAAATAATAATATTATAAATAATTTATAATTATATAAAAAAATATTAAATATTATATATATATATATTAACATAAATATAATAAATTAAAATATATACTTAATTAATAATATTAATTACAAATTATAAATATTTATTTAAGTATAAGAAAAAATATTAAAATTAATTTATTATAAATATAATCATTTAAAAAAAATTAAAAACAAAATGAATAACAAGTCAAAGACAAAATCGGAGACGTCCAATCTACCACCTCGGTTCATCCTGTTACCATGTCTAATAAAGACAAAAGAGTTAAAACATATTAAAAAAAATGTTTATATAATTTATTTTAGTCTATATGCAAATTTAAAATATATATTTAATATAATATTTATAGTTTCAATATTATCAAGATTAACTCTCTTATCTCAATATTTCATCAAATATAATTAGCATAAAAAAAATGTAAGTGTCATTAATTTATATAAATTGATTAAGAAAAATATATAAACATTTGAAACGAAATAAATAAATAAAACGTACAAAATGTAACAATAATTCCTTTTTTTAATTATTTATTTCTCCTTTCCTAATTATACAAATTAATAGTAGATCACATCTTTATTAATTTTTAGATTAAAATTTTTGGGTGCGTAATTCAAATTGTACAATTGGGAAATTCTAGAAAGTAAATATTAATAATTAAATTTATATATGACCTAAAAACATAAATAATAAAAAAAAACAATTTTAAATTACTTTTTTGTTCGTGAAATACCGTCACTTCAGTTGGGCGATATTAATTCTCTTGATTCGGCCCAAAGGACCGTGTATATACTGTTGTTGCATAGTCCAATAAAAAAAATGTTTCGAATTCATATAAATTTCCTAAAATATTATACGTTATAAATTTTTTGTACAACATTTTTTTATCTAATTTAAATATATTTTTTAAGTCTCACTAAAATTTAAATATATTGTAAAACTTAAGTGGTGAAATTTTCATCAGTGTCTTTATTAGTATTAATGTAAAATGTATTCACATTTTTTTCCTAAAATGCAGTTATGAAAATAGTTACCAAAATATTACCGACAAAATCATGATTTAAAAAAATGTTTAAAAAAAATAATTATAATATACTTTAAAGATAAAATAAGAAGGAATTTTGTAAAACGAAGATTTGTTACTTGACAAAGACTTAAAAAAATATATTTAAATTTCATAGTAACAAAAATAATAAAAAAAATTCAATATTTTTAATATTTTATAGTGGATCCACTGATCCAGAACACACTTCATAAAATATAATAATAGCTAGAACTAAACTCAAAAAATAACTAAAAAAAATTAATATATTTGAAAATTTATTGGTATTGGTGAAGTGCATGTAAGTTACAAAGCTAACGTGGAAAAGGTATTGAAAATATACTATTACTATTATTAGTACAAATCATCAATCTGATGCTTTTGTCACAAAAAAAGAGCTTGAGTTATGAATTAAACAACTAATATCACCTCCTAACACAAGCTTAGGAAATTGTAAAATTTTGTATGCTCATAATAACCATAAATAAATGTTAAAATTTGTATTACAAATGTATATTGCGTAAAACTGACAGATCTAAACACTATAAGGACTTATTTTTATACACAAAAAATAGAACTGCAGGCTTTAAGCTCTGCCATTGATGAACATTCTCAAAGTATCTATAAAGTCTTTCTATTCCATTTCTTTTCAATCTTCTCAATTCACAATTCGTTGATGCCAAATCAAGATATTCTTCAATTTGGCCTTGGGAGGTATCCACACATGTGGAACTCACAGGGCTCACATGGACCAAACTTCACGTAGGAGTTGGTATCTAGCATTTGTGGTGGGGTGGCCCCCTTGCTCGTTGTGATGATTACCTTTTCCACTATGAGTGACAGTTGGAGATGAAGGAAGCTTATCAATGATGGATGTAAGAGGGGAATCAAGTTCCTCTAGCTCTTCATCACTGGTGTATCCTCTCCTCTGAACAGCTGATACATTTCTTGCCAAGTGACACTTTCCTCCAGCCTCTGCAACTTTCTCTGCCACATTAGCAGATGAGGGAGGCATGTACACAACGGGAGCAGCCACATAGGGGAAGCTTCTTACAGGTTCTGCTGACAATCTTCGCTCTATAATAGTCTGAAGATGAAGCAAACAAAATTCAATAAACAAGTTTCCAAAATTACTGCACTACATTAGGCAAAAAGTTGCAATATATGCTTCATGAAATTACATTGCATTAAAGGTAGTATCAATTTAATATAAGTAATTAATTTGTTATTTCCTTTCTAATGCTAATTGGTTATTAAAGTGAAAGTGTGATGAGAGAAACCAAAATTTAATAACCAGGTTGGTGTTCATAGCTTACCATAAATTAACAAAATTTAATGTTCATTCAGTTCCCTTAAATTCGTCTAAGTTGTTAAATCTAGCAACAAATTTAACGTATCCCCATGAACAGCTTAAAAATGAAAGTGATGTATGGTATACCTCTGCATTCAGGGCCTCCAAGACAGTTCCTGGAACAGGGTCTGGACAGAACTCATCAGGAGTGAAGTTACAGAGAACCCGTATAACCAATGAAAGACTGATGGACGGACACACCTACATGCACAGCAATAAAAGATATGGAATAAAGACAATGAAAAACCATTAAAATGTGAAACTGATATGCAGCAAAAGAAAGCGGTACTTGATTTATGAAACTAACCTCCTGTCTGATTTTTCTGTCTATAAGCATGTCTTTAGGTAGCATCAGAAGGTCACTCAAGTCATTAAGGAGAACAAAAGATTTAGGTTCACCATCTACACCCTGCTTTTCATCATTCTCACTGTTCTCCTGCTCTTCTTGTAGAAAATCTTCAACATCCATGCCAAACATGTCAGTTAGCCATCTAGACCAATTGCCAACCTGCAGTACAAGTAGCTCTTCTTTAAGCATAAGTTTCCTATATTGGTGAATCCACACATGCCAACTATACGATATAAACCCCAAATTTTGCCAACTCATATTCACATTATCATTCTTTTCAATTAACCACTTTTAGTTTACTGGATTTGGACATCACCGCAACAATCTAAGCCGATGGCTTTTTTTAAATTATGTATGAAAATAGAAAGGAGGCTCAATACACCAAATACATCAATGAACAATCCCCATGCTTCTTTTTTCTAAAGAAGGAAAACATATAAAGTAATCAATCAATGCTAACCAGATCAGTTGAACAGGTAAACCGAGATAGTACTTGTGCGAAACAAAATTTCTTTTTCACATGCAAATTGTATAACCAGGTTATACAAAGTAAACATGCTCCGCAGATAAAATATCTCCGTAGTTTTCTTACTTTTTTCTTAAATATTGTTTTAAAAAACTCCCAGCAATAACCGTCCCTCCAAGAGCTGACATGCTACTCCAGATTAGAAATTCAACTTTAAGACATGTAAAACCATGCAGTAACAAAAAGGGAAAATATACATACAGAATTTTTTAGCTGTGCACCAGACCCAAAGCTTAAATCTCCAGCTGGAATTGGCAAAACCTTTGAATCCACAATAGGATCTGATATAGGATCAGTTGGGATCTCAAGTGCTGACTCCCGAAGAATAGCATTGAACATAGCAATATCTAGTCTAGCTATGCATTGTTCCATGACCTGGTGAAAGAATTTAAATCTACTTAATCCTGAGCAAAATAAAGGAATATTATAAACAAATGCAAGACAGGAAGGTTATCATTAATTGTAAAAAGGCACACCATTCTAGCTAATATGGGCAAACAACCACACTCATGTCCTCCTGCTCGAACGGGACAGAGTCTTTGAAAGGCATCTTGGAAAGCATTTCTCCAGAGATTGATGGAAAAGTTTCCTTGACTGTGATCACCCAGAGCAGGTCCCAACAGCTTCCCATTAGATTTATTTGAAGAGTCCCCAACTGGAGTCTGCATGTAGGGAGTCAAAGCCTGAAACATAGCATGCTTCTGTTATAGAAAAAATGTCATACCAGAGATCTACTGTGCCAATAGGTCTTAAGAGTATATGAATTATCAAATATACTAACGATATATCGACTTTAGAACATATTAAATAATATTGTTGATAATTATTAATTCCTATTTAGATAAATTAAACGTGTGAATGAGATGGTCGGAATAGACAATGTACTCCTCCCCACTGTACTGGACAATATCTAAGAATGGAAATTTTCTTACATCAGTGATATACATAAATTATCTAACACAACACAAGAGACAGCATCTACCTGCCACCACACTGACTCCACTATCCGAGAAAAGATCCATGATTCTACTCTTTCTAAAGCGAAGGTAAAGGTTCCTGTCTCTTGCCAATCTTCGACGAGAGGCATAAAACCATTTCCTGGTTTACCATTGGAGCTACCTTTCCATTTCAGTGCCATATACTTCCCATCATTTCTCTTGCCAGCCCCATTTGACTCGGCCAACCTTTTAAGGGGACTAGCTTGACATGAATTCCCAAAAGCTTGTGAAATTATCTCTCTCAGCACAATGGTATTCGACAACCAGAAAGTTAACCTAAAACACAAACCAAGGAAATATTTATTGCCCATGTTCAAATCAGTAAATGATAGAATTATAATAAAACACACATACCGTGAAACATCATTACCACAAGACTTAGCAACCAAAATGAGGCCAGAAACAGTATTCTTGGCAATTGTTGCACGCCTTGTTTGGGTCCAATGCTTACAAGCATGTATATAGAGCCTAGAAAGGCGCCGAGCTGGTGTGTGCACCTTGTGTGCTGAGCTTCCATGTTCTGGTACAATAGAATAAAGTGACACTTCAAGAGCAGCAACTTCTCTAAGTTCCTCTTCGAGCTTTTCAATTCGTAATTCCATTTCTTCGATTTTTAATTCTGCAGCTGCCTCGTCCTCATGTTCACCATTTTCTTCAGCATTAACTGATTCATGACTTTCATCTTCACTTCCTATGCTCTGAGCACCATTGGAGGATCCATCCACAATATCAAGTTCCTTGATCTCTTGAACAGGTTTTTCATCAACACCTTCAGAAGATTCTGACGAAACATTTAGAGGAACTTTCACAGTCTTAGAATTGGTTGAGGAAGTATTTTTGTTTGACGCTTTGGAGGACCCTTTATTTGAGTTCATAGGTTTCTTTTGATTGCTATACGATAACTTTGATTGCAATTTATTTGTTTTTCTATCAGATCTCTCCTTTGACCCACGGTTGTTTTCTGAAGGATTCACTTTAACCTTACTTTTAGGATCCTTTGAAGTCTTTTCTGTTCTCTCATCCTCATTTGTGAAAGAATCACCTTGGGAAGATACTGAATCCTTTACTGTCTCAGCATCTGATACTTCTTCATTCCCTTCCTTCTGCTCTTTCTCCAAATCAGTAGAATGATCATCAGCCACTTCACTTTTGTTTTCATTGGCAACCATTTCATTAACTTTCATCTCGGCAAGTGCCTCCTCCTCAGACCTGTTGACATCATCCACATAATGTATAACCACATTTTCAAAAGTTTCCGAATTTTCTGAGGCCGCGTTTGAATCACTAATAATATTATTTGCAGTTGGTCTACTATCATGGGGTGTCTTAGATTCAATTCCTTTTTCATTCAATGTTTTGGAAGAATTATCTTGATGCAATTTATTCTCTCTCCTTTCGGTTTTCCTCGAACCCTTTGTCTGACTATTCCTTGAAGCTTTTCTCTTCTCAATCTCTTTCATGCTTTCAAATTCCTTCAAATATCAATCAAATGAAGATGCTGTGAGAGGGGAAATGGTAGCAGTAACTAACCTTAGCAATCTCCTTAAGCGCTAGTTCCCAAATCCTAAAGTCTGTAACCACTAACAATACCTACTCCCCAGAATAGTGCTTCGGATTCCACCACAGAAGTGCGTTCAGAACCTCTCTGTTTTTCCAGGAAGTTGAAACAACTAGTATCTACATGCAAAGTATAGATAAAATAAGTGACTAGATTATCAAAGAATAATAGGCAATAATCATTAAAGGAAATCAATAAAGATAATCGGAATAAGAGGTGAGGTGAAGGATTTGAAGCATTCATCACAATGAGTATAAAAAATCAAAACATAGTCTATGTTAATGTACCAGCAGACAAAGATGTACAAACCTAAAATAGATAACCCAGAAATATGAAAGTTGCAGAAAGTTCATTCATGAAGCACACAATTTGCAATAATTGAAGGGGAACCAAGTTCAATTTCAGGCCACAAAAATTATGCATAAAATAAAGCAAGACCTCATTTAGAAAGCAACTAATAACAACGACTCTAGAGCGTATGCAGCGGGAAAAAAAATCAAAATGTTAACATATAGAGAAAACAAATAAATACAAACATCAGCAAAATTTTAAAAGGCACGGATGCATTAATTCGAGCTCTTCGATAAGAAATTCTGCATTCATTTGGATCTTGTCCACAGTGGTGAAATTGAAGTAAGTTCCTAAAATTGAGTAAACATAATATCATCACTTCTTTGTTTTACTCTCTCCAGGAGCAAGAAATGTGTCTTTTCAGACAAAATAAAAAACAAAAAAAAAACTTCTTTGTGGTACCAAATCGAATTAGAATGGAGTGACAACGACATGGTGGTACCCTGAAAATATTCTCAGCAAAAAAGAAAAATTGCCAACAAAACAAGATGCGGCCACCATGTTAGAGGAAACAATAAAAATAATTAAATAAAATCTCGATCGATTTGATAAACCAAGCACTATCAGAGACCTAGAAGTAGAGGATGAAGAAATATCCTTCATCACCACCATCAAATATGCTAGCTGGCTATATTCCAATAATTTCAAGACCCCATGTAACAACTGTCACCAATCTGCCTAAAAATCTTGTCTTTTTTTTTAACCATTAACTTTGACCAATCCAGCCCAACCCATCAAACAAAATTAGGATTTAGCAGTAGAAACTTATTCATTCAACTACTACATTTCCTTAATTTCCACCCAAAAAAAGGCACGCAAAACAAAACAACATCAGAAAGGAAAAGAAAGTTACATCACAGTCACAATTTAATAAGCAGAAGAAACAATAAATAAATGAAAAGCGGAAAATGAACCATCAAAGATTGAATGCATAAGGCCAAAGACAAGTGGGGTGGGTTATGAATATTATTTACATAAAAAGACAATTGTAACCGTACCGATAAACATTCTATGTTTCTACATTGAGACGAGAACAAAAACAGAAAATGGGAGAATGGGAAAGGAAGAAAAACAAAAGAGGGGATATTTCAGTAGAGAGAAGAAACGAACAAGATGCAGTGTAGTCAACCGGGAAGTTTTGAGTTTGTGAGGATATGATATGTTCTCACGTGATACAGATAGAAAAATATAAAAAGAGAGAAAGCAGAGATAGAAGGAATAGGAAGCGCGTAAAACTTAAAAGCTGTAACCGTAACAATAAAGAAGGATGAGATGGAACAGTTAAAAACGTTAGAACTGGACTAACCACACCACACGCAAAAATGATGGCAGACAAAAAGATCCTTGGGATTAGCAACGTTATCACTCTTGTTTGTGTTCTGTTACAATTTCAAACACCTCTGGAGGAGGACAGAGGTTCTCACTTCTCGAGACAGAGCACAGAGAAGAAGAGTGCGGGAACGTGCACGCATTTTAAAACAGACCAGAGTGGTGTTGGCTACTGGGAAATGGTGTCGGTGCAAGAAGGTCACCGGGTATAGCCGGTTATTAGAGTCAACCTTTCAATGGGTGCGATGTGATTCTTGTGGGTCCTATTATTATTTCCTAAAACGCACCGCACCGCCACTCTTCCATCATTTTCTGTTCGATGCTTAGGGTGGCCCAGACATTTTAATTTTCTAAAAAAATATTTAAACACGTTTTATTTATATTTAATCATTTAAATTTAATTTTATCAAAATTAATTTCGCGTAAAAAGTTACATGTTCTCTTAAAATACTAATAAGAGATTTTTTAAGTAAAGTCCACATTTTAAAAATAAAAAAAACATACAAATTAATAATAAAAGTGAATGATTTGAAGGATGTAATTAGAAGTTGAAATTGTTGAAAGAGTATATTTATATGGATAAAATATAGATTTACATAAAATACATTGCAGAGATAAAATAAAATCTAATGAAAATTCATATATAGCCCTCATTGTGTGTTTCTGTAGTATATAATTATAGATGTAATAAATATATTTTTTTATAGTTTTGTAATATATAGTGTAATTTTTAATGAAAAAAAAACTGTTTACAACTACTTAATTACTAATTTAATTTAACTTACTAACTAACAAGACTAGGACTAAAGTAAACTCAAGTTGTCATCAGTCTTTGATTATGAATAACTTTATGTTTTCATCGTATTATTTTAACGCTATTTTTAATTAAAATTTGAAGTTTGCTTTTAATATTTGATGTCAACATTTGATATATAATTTATTACGAGTTATTAAACTTTAATTTTAATTAAAAATGTTATATTCATAACTTTAATGAAAACTAGTAAAGCCTTAGGTAAAATTAAAACTAGGTATAAAACAATACACGCATTAATGGCACAATTCCCCTACAAAACAATAAGAGGAATAACTCATTATAATATTATAAAGAGGATAGAGCAATAAACTTATTTTTATCTTTATTTTTATAACTTGAAAATTAAATATTTTTTTAAAATTATTAAATTATTAAAAATAAATTATAAATATAAAAATTAAATCTTTTAACTCTTATTTGATAGAAAAATAAATCCCTATATATATATATATATATATATATATATACAATTGATTAATTAGATATATAATTAACATATGATTTACATTAATTATTATAATAACTTGATATAAAATTTTGTTTTATTGATTTAACATAAATTTAATTATATATTATTTTAATTATCTATATAAAAAGTAATGAAGTAAATAATTATTTATGCATATTCATACTTTATCTGCTTTTAAAAATTTTACATAAAAATAATAGTACCTTTCTTAGTCTAATATAGTTTTATGATTTTTTTATATTTACTTAGATATTAAATTAAAAGGAATGGCATAACTAAGAAAATAAAAAATACTATTATTTTTTAATAAAAAAATAAAAGATTTGGAACTCCAATTACTAAAAACTAGCGAAAGAACTAAATTCTGATATCTATAAATGAAAATAAATTTATACTAATATAAAAATGAGTAAATATAAATCATAATTGATTAAATAAAATAATTGTTGTTTGGTATATAAAGATATATTTTGATTTTATATGTAAGAATGGTAGATGTAGTGGAGGGTATGATGTTTTACTGGAATAGTAGGTATAATGGAGATGGATGGATTTAATGGTTATTGGTCTAAATAATTTGAGACAATATTTATTGATGTCATAATTGATTCTTAATTTGTGATTTAAATGTGATTTTATTTTAATTATTCCTGTTATTGTAATTTTTAGACATTTTAACATTATACTTTGAAAGTTACATTAAATATAAAGGAAAAGTTTAATTAAAGCTATTATTTAAATAAAGTTGGTTTAAGAATAAAATTAAATATTTTATTAGAGTATTTTTAATGAGAATTACTAACAAGAGTTCTTAGAGCATTTTTAAAGAAAATTTTTAACGAGAGTTGTTTAAAAAAAATTTTGAATATTTTATTATAGATCCTTAAGTTGAGTTACTTAAAATTTGATAAGTTGTTTATTTAAACAATTTTTTCTAATTTTAAATAACTTTATCCACTTTTAAACAATTAAATCCGTAATAAAATATTTACTTTTATTCTTAAGCAATTTTTTTAGCAACTCCCTTTAAAAATGTTTTTAGGAATCAAAATGAATATTTTATTATGAATCTCACACTTGAGTTGCTTAAAATTGAAAAAAATTGTTTATATAAGTATTTTTAACGGGAGTTGTTTATTGAAATACTTAAATAAAATATTAGTTAGTTAAAGTAATTTTTATTGAAGTAATCCTATATGACATGATAATTATTTAATTTTTTTTTATAATTTCTTCGTCAAACAACTTAGTAAGCAAATCAAAATAAATAAGAAAATATAATAAAAGAGAATGATTTTTTTAAAATTTATTAAAAAAATTTACTTAATGAATTACTTATAAATGATATTATATCATAAATATCTATTTTACATTTTTTAAAAAAATAATAAGTAAGTCATGTAAGTTATTCCTATTAGAGATATCATTAAGAATAAAAATAAATATTTTATTATGAATTTCAATATGAATTATTTAGAACATATTTAAAGAGAATTTTTAATATAAGTTATTTATAAATAAAATATTTAAAATTACATATTTTATTATGAGTTCTACGTATAAGTTATTTAAAACTTGTATAAACAATTTTTTTCTATTTTAAACAACTTAAATATAGACTCGTAATAAAATTAAAAGAAAGTTGTTTATATAAAGTTTTAAGCAACTCACACCTAAGATGTATAATAAAATATTTAATTTTATTTATAAAAAACTCTTGGGATGTTTTTAAAAATGTGTTCATACTTTATTATATGTTTTTCTTTTAATTTTAAGTAATTTTTTCAATTTTAAATAACTAAAATGTGAAACTTATAATAATTTTTTTATTCATAAATAACAACTCTTTTGTAATAATGTTTTTTATTACATTTACGTTATTATAACAAATTAAATAATTTTAATATAATAATTATACTGTTTAATAACTTATTAG